ACCCTGGCAGCTGACTGAATCGGCACGCAGAATGATTTTTCCCCAACCAAAAAAAAAAAAAAAAAAAGTTTCGCTATTTCATCCATTCCCTGTAAAATGAGACGTGGGGGTGTTCGCTATTCTTTCTGGTGAGACGGCATAGCAAGGTGGAAAGGACCCAGATTCTGGGAAACTTGGGCTTGAATCCTGCACCTGCCTCGGCCACATTCAGCTGTCACCTGGACTGAGTTCCTAAACCTCCCTGAGCACCTGCTCCTTTGGGAAAACGGAGCTGATGCTAACGACCTGAGAGGACCGTTGTGGGGAACAGATGCACTCACGATGCAAACTGCCTGGCAGAGGGCGAGCTCTCGGCAAATGGTAGTTGTCATATCACTACTTCATGGAATTTAAACTTCTCTCTCGCTTGTCGGGGTTGCAGGGACCCCGGGTGCCCTCTCTACTCCGTGGCATCTCTTACTCTGCTTGCCACGATAAAGACGGAAGCGTCCCTTCTTTGAGCTGTGACATCTGATCCAACAGTGTCCGTCCCCGTCCACACAGATGTTTGGCAAAACCCGATTCAGTGTACCGAGGAGGTGTTTTTAAGAGGCTGTCTCTGAAAACACATCGCTTCTAAAAGCTGGGACTGCCTGTACCTCAAAGACATCGACTGGGCTCTCGACGCAAAGCCTTTCACAACGCTTGACTTGGGCATATTCTGGGTCCCAAATTGACTGCACTGGAACGTCTATTTCTAAGAATTGCCGATCACACACCACACTTACATCTTCAAGTCGCTGGCACAAATTAACTTTGCCCGAGAATGAAGTAGTAACTGAAAGGTCAAAACAAATTACATTTGGAAAGTGTCGCATAGAGAAAAAGAAGCAAGACCACCACCACCGTTTTATGCATAGAAATGCTCCTATCGACGATAAAGAGCGCTTTCTTCCTGAAGGCTGTTCCTTCTTTCAACCTTAACTTTTCAGTTCAGAGTTGGGCTTGCAGGCATAGAATACCCTCCAACCCAAACGGAGGGGAATCTTTCAAGTCACCCACCACTCACTCGCTGACTGGAGTTGGGGAAATTACAGAATAAACCCCATTTTCACATCAGAAGAAAACAGAGCTATTTTTCAAGATCAATTACCCATGATAGTTTTAAAAGTAGGAAGATGCACACTACCATATTACTATATATATTACAGCTAAATAGCTCTTCAAAGGAGATCATTAACAAATTACTATAAGACACTGAGCAGATATAATGTGTTCCGTGAATACAGAATAGTAAAAGCCACTCCGTGCTACTTGTCCACAGTTAAATAGAATCTTCAAGCAATTGCACATGAAAGTAAACATATTTCTCAACTCCCAGTGTATTTGCCACTAGACTGTAAGCCCCTTGAAGGAAGAGGCTGCAGCCAGGGTGGTCACAGTATCCCTCTGCTTGGCTCAGGAAAAAACCTCTACAACCAGGTACTGAATTAATGGAATAAACAGTATCACACACCTTTTTCAGGACGGTCTAAAATGCTCCCAGAAACTTATAAAGGCTCTTTAAAATGTTCTCAGACCTTCCTATCATAGCGTGTGAATACTTGGAAAGGACAAGCTTTGTGATGGATGATCCCAAGTTTTCAATGTCCACTGAACAGAAATGAAACACCAGAGGAAAGATGGATTTTACGTGACTCAACCTCTTGCAAGTGTGTGTGACCTCAAGTCAACTGGATTTCACTCTGTGCGGAAAAAGATACAAGAGTAGTGAGCCCAGGGGAAAAGCTGCCTTGAACCCTCCAGAGCTTAAGATGCTAACCCTTTGTAGGCCTTGGCTTCTGAATTAGACCCTATTAAATAAAAGCGTTTCTTCTCTAACGTGGCATAAAACAACTGGCATGCACATATGAATGAGCTGGGCCTGCACATCAGCTACACTAGCTCGACAAATGTTTCAGTAAACTAAAGCAGCTATATAATTTGAACAAACAGGCAACTTTTCCAGAATTTGCACTCATTGGTTCGTTAACTGAATAATGTGTCAGCCTAACAAAATGGTTGCCTCTTGCCATCTCAGAGAAGCAAAATCTCCCCAGGGTGGAACGTTCCATTTTCTGAGATTCTCCCGTAATAGGCAGGGGACTGCACACCCCGCACTTCATTGAAATTAGCTAGCTATTGCTTCATTCTGTTGCCTTTCTGTGCAAAACTGGGGAAAAGGCAAAGTAAGTGAAATAAGGAAGCACACAGAATACTCAGTGGCTTCAAATAATTAGCTGGAAAGAAAAGTCACTCAGGATAGACCGATGGCAAGTTTTATGCTTCCCATTTAGATACTGAAAATACAAAGCTAAACCTCTTTTTCAAGAATGCCCAAGACTGGTGATCACAGGGCTTACCCCAAAATGAAGCTGAGATAGAAACTCTTATCAGAAAACATGTTACCTGTATCCTTTAGCAAAGAGCGAAATCACACTAGGCTTTTGAGTCATGATGCTGAGGCAGTTCAACATGAAATTAACTTGCTTACCAGAGCTAGAAATCCCCCTAACCTCTCACCCCCATCCCAAAATCGAGCAGGTAGGCCACTAACTGCTATACAGTCATGGAGAAAAAACGTGCAAGATGTTTTACCTCATGATCTCTATGTACCAGAATCCTAACACAGCACAAGGAGTGGCAGTTACTATGTAAATGGTCACAGCACAAAACTAAAGCCAATTGAGATAAACTCAAAACAAACTGGAATCTCTGGAGGAGGTTCCAATGGCCTAATTCGAGTCTATTTAAAAACAAAACAGCAACAGAATAACAATTACTAAAGAGTCACTTCCTAAAATTACTCTCCTGTTGATATGTCTCAGTTCTAAAATGTCATGAGAAATCTGCTGGCAGGTCACTGATTCTGCCCTAAAAGAAAGCATTACCAAAGAATGCCACCGAAAACAAAGGCCTTCACACAAGTAAGTGAATACCCTAAGCACGTAAGTATGTTCTTAAGAGGGACATTGAAAAAAGCAGAAGTCATATTAAGTTCAAAACACCAAGAAAAAAAATGAACAGCAGTTCCTAATTTTAGTAATATTATATATCACCCTCCCCCCCCCAAAAAAACTGTCCATGAGTTAAGATTTCTTGATTTTACATATAGACACTTTATATATTTGGGACTCCCTGCCCTTAAGGAAGAAAAAGAGGAAAAGAAATTAAGCACTATATATGACATTTATAGAAATGTAGAGGGTTTTTTTTTTTTTTAATGAAATTCAGGTTTCATTTGGGGGTTACTGTTTTACAGTTTCCCACTTGCCAGAAATTTTAAACAGCACTGATCATCAGCGAGCTTCGGATATGTTAAAGTCTGGAACAGGAGTGTTGCTTTCACAACACTCCGAAAGGCCTCCACTCTTCCCTTACTTTCCCTGCTTGTCTTCACTCATCAAAGTAGGTTTTTCCCTGCAAAATGTAAAAGAGGCAGGGGCTATGAAGGGCAAGCGAGACAAAAAACATCCAGGAAGCACGTCTTCATTTACACAATTTGACTTTTCACAACGAATAACGCAAAGGGAAAGATATTTTCTATATCGTGGGGCTTGGACTCAGGGATTTGTAAAAATAATCTGATGAGCCCTCAGCATCACAAGAAAGATGTTTTTTTTCTTACGTCAAGGTAACATTTAAGCAATCTTAGATGTATATAACACTTGAAGAACTGATGCTTTCAAATGGAGAACAGCTTTGGTTTTAGATTCCAATACATTACAAAAATGCATGGTCTTAAATTCACCATAAAGAAGATGCCTCTTTTTATCATCAACTGACCAAGAGCTATTTAGTGTCAAGGAGACACATCTGCTGTACCCCTCATGATGTTGTTAATTAGGAAAGCTAAGGGGAAAAAAAAATCCAACGCTAATCCTTTGATACACTATTTGAAACTCACTATTAATCTGATGCATGATATTTTCTGGGGTGGTGCCAATGATATGAACTAATCAAGCCGTTTACTACTTCATCAATAATAAATCATTTTTAAGACAAAAATTACAACTTGGTATGGACCTCACCAAGACCCTCGCCAATTCAATCGGCCCCTTTGCCGGTAATTTAAACAACAAATTCCTGCCTGGAATCACCCATTCAACATGCGTTTTTAAGTGAGTCCCATTTCAACCTTTTAATAAAGTGCCACCAGTGGATCTGTCACCAGGTGACACACTTAGTACCAAAAAGAAAATCGGGTGGGTCAGAATCCACTCCTTACTGCCTGGAGGCACCAAAGAGAAAAGGAGTGCAGGAAGCTGACTGGACTGGTGGACCTTAAGGGGAGCAAGCACTGAAAACACCAATTTAAGTGCCTGGGGCAAAAGGCAACTCGCCTGCACTCCCTAGCTAAGGCGCCCAGAGGGAGCTGAGGGGAGGCCGGTGCTGGAATGGGGGACAGAACAGAAACTAGGGAAGGAACGACCGGGATGGAGCACAAGGGAAAGACAAGCATGGGGCAGAAGGAGGGACAGGGATGGGGCAGGCAGGGGACCATATGTTGGGGCTCGAGGGGAGGGCAGGGATGACAGAGATGGGGCCAGGGATAGGGATGGGGCTAGAAGGACAGGGATGGGGCAGGAAGGAACCACAGCAATGAAATAGGGAGGACTACAGGGATGGAGCTGGACCGAGAGGCAGAGATGGGGCAGGAAGGGGCGACAGGGATGGAGCTGGTCCAGCGAAGTCACAACCACATCCTCACCACACCTCGCTGGGGCGCTCGCTGCGCGCCACGCGCCACGCGCCGCGCTGGGCACTTCGGGGCGCTCTCTCCCGGAGTCCCCCCAACAGCCCTCCGATGCCCCATTTCAAAGACGGGAACGGCGAGGCCGGCCCTGCAGCGCCCGCTCCCGGAGGTCGCCGGCCGAGAGGGCAGCGGCGGCTGAGCGCCCGACCCTCCCGGACGCAGGGTGTCGCTGGCGGCCACGGGGGGCGGCGACGCGGGGGGCGGCGCGGGCCCGGGGAGCCGGTACCTGGGCTCGGGCAGGACGATCTTCTTGCTGGCGCGGGCGGCCGGAGTCGCCTTGCTCTTCTCCATCGCCATCAGGTAGCTGACATCGGCCAGCACGGCCTCCAGGTCCGCCATGTTGGCGAGCGGCGGCGGCGGCTCCTCACGACCCGGACGGGACGCGCTCCCGCCGCCGCCGCCCGCCGCGCCCCGACGTGGGGGGGCCGCCCCGGGGCAGCCCCCCCGCGCGCCCCCGCCCGCCCCCGCCCGCCGCGCGCCCCCCCGCGCGCCCCGCTACCGCCCCGCGCGCCTCAGCCTCGCGCCCGCCCCGCCCCCCGCGCGCCGCCCGCGGCCCCGCGCACGCGCCGCCGCCCCCGCCTCTTCCGCGAGAGTCGGCGGGGAGCGCGCGCCCTGCGGCCAGTACTCCTCTGCGCCCGAGCGGAGCGGCCAGGCCCGGCCCCCTCTTCGCCGGCCGACCCAGTCCCTGCGGGCACCGTCCCGCCCTCCCCTCGGGGTGGCCATGGGGGACTTCCTCTCCTCCTCCGCCTCTCCTCTTCCTCCTCTTCCTTCTTCTCCTCCCGACTTCCCGCCTGCTACTCCCTGCGCTCTCACCACCCCCTCTCCTCCGGGACCCCTGCGAGCAGGGGACGCCCTGGACCCAACGCCCACCACCCAAGGGACAGCGGGGAGGTCTCTGTGCCAGTGTCTTAAACTGGACAGTGGCCATCAGCATGCTTCAGGAGGTCTGGGGCGGCCCCAGAAATGCGCGTGCCCCACCTGTCTGCCCAGGTGATGCTGAAGCCCGTGGTCCGGGTCACCCGTGAACAGCGCCCCGCGGTCCAGCCCCTAAGCCTCAGTCCTGACCCCTCCACCCCCTCCACCGCCCTGTAAACTCAGCAAAGAGAAACCTAACAGCTGGAGAAGGTTGCTTGTCTCAAGCTAATCGGGGCAAAGTGGGGTGAGAGCTCCCTCGTGGGAGCGGACCTGCCCTTTGGAGCCCACTGGTAGAGGAGCTGTCTGCCCAAGGTGGTCACCGCGCCCTTGCACGCAAAGGTTTGGGTTTGGATGTTTAAATGGTCGCTGAGAATTAGAACTAGTATTCTGGCTCTTGTGGTTTTTACCATCAAATTAGGAGAGCCCTGCTGTACGCACAGACCCACCACAAGGGTGATATAGGGAAGTGGAAAAGCCGGAGGCCAAACACCAAGGCAGGAGGGAATTTCCAGCTTCCTGATCCTCAGTCTTGGTGTCTGGTGTCACCAGTCCCCACGTGGGCCTGGGGTTTTCATTTACTTCTTATTTTTTCACAGCGGTACACACAAGTGCACGTTCAGAACGCATCACTCTGGCCGGCGTGATGTTAAGGGCATCCAGGAAATCTTAAAAAGACTTGAGCTGAGAATTAATCGGTTAAAAAGCAAATCCTTTAAATTCATCCACATAGGTCACATTGCACCAGGAACCTCAACTTCACTAGGATTTGAGTGAATGTTCTGTCAGTAGCTTACATGGTCAACAGAGTTCATCAGAAATGGTTAAGGTCAAATTTTGGACATTAAATGTAATGTCACAGCAGAAGCAGCCTGATTTGGTCACCGCAAGAACCCTGCCCTGTTTTGTTCTCTCCCTCTCCCACCGAGCCACCCCCGCCCCACCTTTTTCCCTGTATGCCTCCCATCACAATTGGCCAGTTTTACCAGATGCTTCTCAAGACCTAAGGCACAAGATTCAGTGAAGTTGTCCAGAAAAGAACAAGAAGGGTGTAAGAAGTAGGCACTTGAGTCAAAGGAGCTTGGTCAGGCAGCAGAAAGCCAAAACGACAAGGGTGCCCAAAATTCACCAATGAGACAAAGATTTGCATGAGCCAAATATCAAACTTTCATCTTCCACTCACTTTTTTTTGCCAAAAAAACAGGAACACAGAATGTCTTGTCAAGGGTCACCCCCGGAGGAGGGGTGAGTTCCCAAAAAAGCATAATGCGTTTCTATGATTTCATTAGTACAATTTCTTTCAATATGTCTTTTTATCATCCGAGCTTTCACATAATCAGATCGTCAAATAAATACATGCTTCTGCCTACATTTTCACGGTCTTCTGAATACTGAGATTTTTAACTTTGCCTCTTTGAACCCAGTTAAGAAATTTGTTTGGTAGTGGGGGTTTTTTTCTTTCTTTTTTGCGGGAGGAAGGGGGTGGGTTGCAGCATGGGGTACTAAGTTTGCAACAAGAGACACACCTGAATTCAAATCCCTGCTCTGCTCTGACTAGCTGGGTGATCTTAGAGGTAACATATTACCTCTCCATGCTTTATTGTTTTCATCAGTACTGTGGGAATGAAGCCACTGGACCCCAGTGTTGTTGAGAAGACAAAGGAGATAACACTCATAAAAATGCACCTTGCCTGATACCCAGTAGGTCCCCAACAAAGGTCACTGCATTTCCTCTATGTATTTTGCTTCATTTTACCCTCGCCTGCTGGAGAAGATACTGATTCACAGACACCACCCTTGAAGCAGAAAGATCCCTTACCAAAACATTATCTCCTTAGTGCATTTCTAGGAACCCAAATTGGCAAAAAAAAAAAAAAAAAAAGACTAGCCTTTACAGACACAAGAAATGACTCTTCTAGTAAAAAGAACATAGAGTCCAAAATTGGGTCCCCTAACTGAGGCCCCTCCCCCAGTGAAGTCAGTGTGACCAGAGCACCCAGGGTGTCCTTCTTCGGTCTTCCTAGTGTGTGAATTTCGGGTGCTTGGCTCTCTCCTTTACCCTCTCACTTTCTCCACGCATTCCCCACCACCCCTTCTTTTCCTTAATGCTGAACAGCTTTTCATGTTCACTGCAAACAAAAGGCGCTAATGACAGTGATGAAGTTGTCATAACTGACCTGCTGGATCCTGTCGCTAAACACCAACGCCAGCCTGTAATCATTACGGATGAACAGAGAAAACAAATAGCAACCCATTTGTTCTCAGCCAATAATGCTCCGTTGCAAATAAGTACGTTTCTCACCCTCCCCTCCCCAAGATGATTTCAATGACTGTGGGCTCACGCTGCTTGTGATAATTGATAAAACTTCAGAGTCCCTGCAAGGTTCATAATTTTCTCTTTTCTACGGCTTCCCAAGATCAGGGGAGGTATTGCTGAGATGGATGCATTAAAGTTTATACTCCCTGGGGTTAATTTTGATAACAGCTTCAAGGGAAGAAAGCTAACTAGAGAACTGAGTCATATTTGTTTTAGATTCTGGGCGTTACTGGGGCTTCCTACTTAATAAAGCACATGGGAAAAAAAGTCAACTCTAAGACTCCAATTAGAAGATTTTTGAGGGGGAGGGATAAATCAGGAGTTTGGGATTAACATACACACACTAGTATATATAAAATAGATAATCCACAAGGACATACTGTATAGCACAGGGAACTCTACTCAATAATCTATAATAACCTATATGGGAAAAGAGTTCCAAAAAGAATGGATATATGTATCTGTATAACTGAATCATTTTGCTGTACACATGAAACTAACACAACATTGTAAATCAACTGTAATATAAAAAATTAAATGAAAAAAGCATTTTGGGGACCAGCAGAACGTGCCTGCACTTAATTCATTAATATCACAGTATTTAATTCAATCCCTGCTAAGAGAGACTTGGTTTTTTGGTAAACAGTCCCCTAAATATTATCACTTTGCAAGCAAACTGCACACACTTGGGGTTTGAATGGGTTTATTTCCAAACACCTCATCCTGTAAAGTCTGCAGGTGTTTGCAGCCGCGCCAGGGCCACTGTCCCAATTCACCTGTTACTTAGATCACAATTCTGCTTATTGTCACATGCATCATAGGAACTGCTTTTCATGCTATTTTAACAGCAAAGCTTTACAAATTTTAATGGAGGTTCTGTACCTAGCACTTCATACCTTAAAAGATCTGCAAGAAGGTCTAATACCAGACCTTGGTTTACATAGCACTGAAATTACATTCAATACAGAAGGACCTTCCTTTAAATAAGTGGGTGGAAACACATTTCTGTTTGACTGTATCAGGATATACCAAGAGCATTAGTAATCACCGGTGCTACAATGCACGGGTGAGGTGAGCAATCAATCCATCGGCAGGTTTCTAGAAACAAGCACATCTGTATTTTCCTCCAGTATCTGCACTCAGCACACTGACCTTGCTTAATGAATATGTGTTGAATGAATAAGTGAATGAATGAATGAATGAATGGCATAAAATGTTACAGGTTGTTTGCCCCAAAGAAACTTCTATCAGAGATAATCTAAAGGAAGGGGGGAAATGCTGTTGAAAACCACAAGTACCTAATAAAGAGGGTGCTTCCTGGTAAAGGTAACCACTAGGTCCCTGCTGGTTCTTCGTGCTGCTAATGGCCAAGAAAGCCTCTCCAGCCTGTAAGAGCCTTGGTGCCCCTGGACTTTGCAAAGGTGGGTCTGAGAACTTTAGGCCTGGGACGGAGAGAACTAAATCCCCTTGCCTAACTCTGTTGGCAAAGTCCTCCAAAGGACTTGGAGGAGAACTTGAAAGAGGACTAAGAGAGAGAAAGCAATGAGATGACCCAAGGCCAGGCACTCCATGGTGTGAGGGGCCAGAGAAAAACCCCCAGAGGTAGGGGGCGGGGCAGAGAACTTCGGGAATAGGAGGTCTGTTCTGTTTTCTGTGCTGTTTTAAGTTTGCTGTTCTGCACAACAGTGTCATGCCTTTCCAGTGATCCTTGCAACTTCATGGCTTGTATCTATGGGTGCTTTGATGGCGGGTTGCAGGCAAGGTTGGGAGCCAGGGCCCACACTGGGATCAATGCCAGTGATAAAGGAACAGTGGTAAGGCCAACAGAACAAGAACTCAGCAGAGGCAGGAAATCAGGTCCAGCAATGACGTTGGGAAACCGGGCTGCCCAGACTCCTCAGACACCCAGGGCAGGCCTTGGCTTTTCCATGGGTCTGGAAAGGCCATCTTGTCTCCCTCTCAGGATGGGAGAAGATGACCTCTGGATATGTAAATCACAAGAGGCCAGAACTTTACTGCATTGCCAAGTCCCTTCTGGCCCTTAACCTGGTGGCCTTCCCTTTAAGATTCTTTCTGTTCAGCTGGGAAATCATATATCGATCTAAGAACAGCCACCACTCAAGGGGAAGGCGGGGTGGGGCAGGGAAGGATTGGGAGTTTGGGA